CGTCACGTGAGCCTTTGACCCTTCCTCTCGCGAGACGTGACGCCGTTTTTTGCGGGATCAGCTCTGCAGCATCAGACACCGGAGACAATCTGCATATTTCTATTTCTGCGGTAAGAGCGTGATTAGCGGCGCGCGTGCACGGTGCACACAGACAGAACCTCGCGGAGACGCGTGTGCACGCGGCTGTTTGCGTGTGATGTGAGCGAGGAGGTGCGTGCTGCTGAATGTGGACACTGAGGATGGAGGCTGCAGCCTGAAGCGCGCGACACAACATGCACGCGCTAGACGTGCTGTTGTTTGGTTGCACGAGCGTTTCCGGTGTTCCCCCACTGTGTGTGTAAGTGTGTGTGTTTGTGTGAACATACACACACACACACACGTGTGTGCGTGTGTGTGTTTGTGGCTGTCCAGGTGTTCTGGGTGATGATGTCATTACACCTGAGCTCAGGGATGGCCCTTAGCAGCCTGCAGCGATGACATCATCAGTCAATCAGATTGATTGACAGGAATATGACAGATTCAGATCCATGACTGTAAATAAAGATGGACGACGTGACGGCTCCTTTAAATTGATGATGTTTTATATTTAAATAATATATATTATCAATAAAATTGATGATAGTATCTAAATTATTTATTGAAAGTCGACAACTTGTTACCTTAAGTGCAGAAGTCGTGTATCACCCCACATATCAGCGTTTGTTAAACATGCAATGTGACACCAGTGGATGTTAGCATTTGTGAGTTATGACCAGACACTAACAGTTCTGCTGCTGTTACAGCTTCACCTGCTGCTGCTTCCTCCATGTTTTTATAACACAACAAATACTGTGCCTGCATCTTGGAGACTTGCTGACTGCTTGATGTTGGACAGAATCAACCAAATCATCCCGGTGCAGCCCCCACCCATAAGTTAATAATTAATAAGTAAGAATCCCCACATCAATGCACTAAGGCTAATCACTCACATATAGAACTGATCTTTATAAAAACCTGCTGAATTCTATTTATGTTCATGAATAAATGTTGCCTCATAATCTGCAGGAGTGTGTGTGTGTGTGTGTGTGTGTGTGTGTCTTTTTAATGTGTTTAAATATGTGTCTCATAAAACATCATCTTGATCAAATCAAATAAACACAATTCTAATTTACATTTCACATGGTGATGCTAACCATTGGAAATTTCACTCTAGCTAATAGAGAAACCTGTAACCGTTTTATAATATGATGTCAAATCACCAGTATCACCCCCTGGTGTCTGGCTGTAGGATAGGCCATAAACCCTGCCTCCTCCATGTTAGCAGATGGGACATGGACCAAACAAAAAAATCAAAGTAGACGTTAAACAAATGTTTGTCAAAGATGGTTCTGTCATCTCAGGTCGTTCTTATCTCTCTGATGTTTGTTCGTGTTTCTGATCAGTTTGGTTTGAATCACTTATTTAATGATATAAAAACAGGCTGAGACGTCATGATTGACAGCTGATACTGACTCAGGATTGGTCGAGAGCGTGTATGGGCAGGACTTCAATTCCACGGCTCCACTTCACGATCACTGCTGCACAGACTCTGACTGTAAATGACGTCATCACCACAAGCAAAATTTGAGACGTGTCATTGTCTTATTTGGAGGCTTTGATATTTGTTTATAGACTCTGTTTTGTCTCAGTCTTGAGTCAGACATGTTGTTGTTTTGCAGAGTGGGTCATGGAGGTGTCGTCTCACAGCCTCTTCCTGCTGCAGCAACTCAACGTTCAGAGAGAGTTCGGCTTCCTGTGCGACTGCACCGTCGCTATCGGAAACGTCTACTTCAAGGCTCACCGAGCTGTGCTGGCCGCCTTCTCCAACTACTTCAAGATGATCTTCATCCACCAGTCCAGGTCAGTCCAATGTTTTTCTAAAAGTTAACCTGTAACTTCATAAACCGCTGAATCCTCATTGTGTCGTGTGTGTCCTCAGTGAGTGTATAAAGATCCAGCCCACAGACATCCAGCCCGACGTCTTCAGCTACCTGCTGCACATCATGTACACTGGCATGTGTCCCAAACAGCCAGTGGACCAGAGCCGGCTGCAAGATGGCATCAAGTTCCTTCACGCCTACCAGCTGTGTCGGAAACCAGATGAAGGTGCACTAGATGCCACAACTGATGTGGTCCGTATGTCCAACCTGTATGGAATTCAGATCTCGTCCCAGCTGGCCAACAAGGATGTGTCTGGAGTCCCCAAGACCACCACGGTGTCCCGAGGGGCCCCAGAGGATGGATGCTCTTCAGTCCGGGGGGCACGGTCCCACTCACAGCTGTCCCTCCCTGTTGGACTGGAGGGGGTGCCTTCAGACCGCCAGGCTTCGGCACTTCGCAACGTCTGCTCTGTAGCGTCTGGAGATGATTCAGACATTTCTTCTCGAATCAAGCAGGAACAAGTAGAGGAGGAGGAGGCGGAGGACAGGGAGGGAGAGGAGGGGGCAGAGCCAGGATCCCCGTCTCCAGCCCAGGGCAGCAGTCCCAGTCTCCTGTTTAAAGACCGACCCCTGGTCCTGCTGTGCCCCAGCTGTGGAGAGCGCTGCTTGTCCCCGGAAGGCCTCCGGGAGCATCTATTCAGCCACGCCCTTGACCCTGCCCGCCTGATGGAGGGGTTGTCGCACGGGAGACAGCTGAACACCAGTGTCGAAGAAGGGCCACGGGGGGGCCAAGAGCAGCTAGACGCTGGATGTCTGGAGGAGGCGCTGAGGCAGAGCCAGGCGCTGGCCAATCAGCTGGCTGCTGAGCTGAGGAGGAGTCGAGGGGGGGGAGGGGGGAGCAGCCCCACCCCTGCCGTCCTGCACTCCCGTAAACGTAAAATTGCCTGCGCTGTCTGCAGCCTGCGCTTCTCCCACAAAAGCCAGCTGCAAGAGCACATGTACACCCACACCGGCAAACCGTCCCGCTACCACCGCTACAACCGCCTCTGCAGCCAGCTCTTCCAGGCCTCCGCCCACTTTTGTGAGGGCGCCGCAGAGCCTGGGGGAGGGGGCGGGGTGCCAACTGCTGCCGCTGTCTCTGAGGAGGCAAACAGGGACACTCAGGACAACGGCAGCTCCTGCTACTCCCTGGACTCTGAGATCTCTCAGGAGAGTGTGGATGGCGTTCCCGTGGAGTAATGTCATCAGGTGATGTCATATTGTCATAGTGGCGTGAATGAGCACACAGAGAGTGAAAAGACAAACCTGGAGGTGATTCTGTGCCATTGCAGGTGTGTGTATGGATAACAAGTGAAAGTCAATCAAACAAACAATTAGCTGCTGCAGAGTGGGACAGAGGAGATGACAGCTCTGATTGGCTGCTGAAGTTTCAAGACCAATCAGAGGAGAGCGAATGTCTTTGATGTTTCCTCACGTTACATGTAGACGAGCCTTACACAGAAACAGCTGTTGTGCTTTTAATGTGAAAAGACATTCAGTTATAATTTGAAATTCAGATCCTGTATAGGATCATACATTTGATTTTTCCTGTTTCCTTTTCCTGATGAGATTTAAGTTAATCAAAAAAGGGGTGTTCCTTTAACGTTGATTTGTGTCGGGTAACCCTAACCCTTTGATTTCACAGTTGATATTGATTATTGATCGGTGAATGTCTGATTGCTCAGTAGTGACGTCGTCTTTGTGCTTCTCTGAAAAAAAAATCCCAGGTTGACGTGTTTTCAACAATTGTCTGGTTTTCATCGTAAATAGGTTTGTAAATAAACGTCTTTTTCCACCAATCAGTTTGACTGAGGACATTCACACTCAATAAAACACACACAACAAAAACAATCAAATATACACAGGAAAGCACACAAACGAACATCAACAAAAAACAACAAACTTTTTCACCGAAGATAATTCTTATAATACTTAAATGTTAGGTTAAAAGTCAGTGTTCATCTCATTGATCACAAATCGGATCAATAACAGAAGCGTTAGTTCTGATGACTCATCATTTGGACTCAACATTATTGGAGTGAACGCTACTCCTGAAACACATAAGATCACACATCAGATTCTGACCTGCAGGTGTCAGCAGAGAGCAGAACAGAGGCATGCTGGAAAAAACTGGGAAACCTTTTTCAAAGTTTTGCCGTGAAACAAGAAGTTGTTGTAACTTCAGTGGACATTATTCAATATGCACCAAACTTCACGTTTGATAAAAGTCCTGGCCTGAACACATCTACATGCAAATATTCATTCATAGTCATAGCGCCCCCTACAGACAAGAAGAAATTACATATTTTATACTGCGATATACTCCTCAAAGTTTGATGTTTTACCTTGAAAAAGGAAGTTGACTATATCTCGTCCAAACTTCCCATAAGCAGATCCAGCTGTCATTTGGTCCAAAGACCCTTAAGAGTGTGAAGAAGACATCTTGTGAATGTTGTCGTTTACGTTGAACGCTGAACAATGTTGATCTATTTTTTACAGTTGATCGAATTTTTGTGAGACTAAACATACATGAGAAGTCATGAAACTTGGCAAACATGTCAGAATGACATTACAATATGGGTTTTACATATGGTCATGGATAAATGGCTCGAAACTAAATTTCATCAAAGAAGCCCAAGCATAATGTTTCACAGATAAGTAGGAAAACCGGTATGTATCATGGCCAGACATACCCATACCCTAAATTGAACAGGAAGTTAGTAATGTGGATTGTAATGTAAAATTTCTACTTGGTTTTTGCTTTTGGCAGGAATTCTACTTGAATGAACTCCTACAGAATCATTTTAACTTCATATTGTTTGTGCAAACAATAGACAGATGTTTGTGGTATAATGTGGAATTTTGAAGTTTTGCTGTGAAATAGGAAGTTGTTCAGGTGTTGCCTAATCAGATGTCCTGATTAAGTCACATCTGTCCACCCACAAACAACTGCTGCTGAACGAGCCTGATGTTTCCATCAAGAGGAGGAGACCGACCCCAGAGATAAAAGACAGAAAATACTGGAGTTAGACACACTCAACAAACAAACAAATAAATAAGAGGCAGGTTCAAGGTTGCGTAAGTTTAGACACATCTGAAAGCATAGTGCCTGACAGTCAGAGCTCAGGTGATTTGAACACTCCATCAATGAAATGATCTGATTTAGTTGTTCTATTTGAATCTGACACATTTCTGTGACATGTTTTTAAATGACATCAGCGTCTCAGACTTGAAACAACAAACTGATCAAACTCATTTTAGTGTCGAATAAGCTGAATTTGTGTTGATGAACGGTGAAGAAATAAAATCAATTGATCAAACATACAGACTGTCAAGTTATATCAGGAACCAATCAAAGTGTCAGTGACGAACGTGACACAGTTCCACCATCAGGTACTGAGAAGTATTACACTGAGGAACAGATACCACTTTTTCAAAAGTAACTAACAATTGACTTTACATATAACTACATGAAGTAAAAGAGTTTTTTTGACTGGTGAAACGGTGTTTATTCAAATCTGTGGAGACAGAGGATGTCATCTTGTCCACACCTGTCCAAACTGTCCACCTGCAGGCAAACGGACAAATGTGAGCATTCTCCAGCAGGGGGCGACCCTCTGTCAACAACATTCAGTCACTAATAGATATAAAATGATGATTTAAAGTTTTAAGGAAAACTGTTCGTTAAGGTTGTGAAATAAAACAGGGTCTTGCTACCTCAGTGTTTCCTGTAAAGTTGGTTCAGTTCAGACGTGTTTGAGGAAACGACGTGCGCTCTGCACCGTGTTCTGCAACAAAACCATGGAAGCATCACCTCAGATCGGAATCCAGGTAAAAAATGGAATCGAAAAAAATAAATGACATAAACAAACACAACATGCCTCCATGAGCATGGCCACCGTCATCGGCCCCACCCCTCCTGGGACAGGTGTGATAAATCCTGCTCTCTGATTGGCTGAGGCATAGTGGACGTCTCCGACGACACGTTTACCGCTCTCCTTTGTGTGATCTGTGACAGAGGTCAAAGGTCACACACAGTCATCACGAGGGTCAGAGGACATAACACATAATGATGGATCAGTTATTGATTAATCAGTGACTTAAACCTCAACTCTGATCGAACACAAACATTGCGAAACAAAGTGTGTAAGTGTGTAGTATCAGTGTGTAGTATCAGTGTGTAGTATCAGTGTGTAGTATCAGTGTGTAGTATCAGTGTGTAGTATCAGTCGTTTAAGTGTGTAGTATCAGTCGTTTAAGTGTGTAGTATCATTGTGTACCTGGTATGTGGTTAATTCCACAGTCAATGACCACAGCTCCTTCTTTCAGCCACTCTCCTCTGATCATCTCAGCTTTACCTGCTCCCACCACCAGGATGTCAGCCCTACTCACCTGTACACACAGGAAACACATCATCATCACACAGGAAACACATTGTGGTGTCTGAAATGCTATGTGTTGTCCTCCCTATAAAAGAAATGTATCTTTGGGTTTGAGGCCCACAGGTCCTGAGGAATTTCGAGAAAGCCTGAATATATGTTAAGGCATTAGGTCACAGTTTTAAGGGTTACACTAAATTTGAGTAAGTGCCTTCTCTCCCTGTTACCAGACAGATGAGAAGAGCTGGATGAAAGCCAGATGTGTTTTCTTTAGATTCATGAAAACAACCCTATATAAACGAAGAGTTGAAGTTGTCCCCTTAGAAGAGATTCACATTGGCCCCGATCATCACACAGGAAACACATCATCATCACACAGGAAACACATCATCACCTGCTCAGGTAGGTTTGTTGTCTTTGAGTGACAGGTGGTCACGGTGGCATGATTCCACAACAACAGGTCATGCATCGGAGCACCAACAATTTTACTTCGACCAATCACCACCGCAGATGACCCTGCCACGGTAACGCCTGCACAGGAACAGCAAGTCACAGTCTTTATATGATGATGGTTACTGATGGTCTTTGTATATAGTCATCAATTGTCTTTATATACAGTGTACGACCTGTCTGTCTGATCAGCTCCATGCAGCCTCTCGGTGTACACGGGAGGAAACAGTCATTGAGTTCACCTCGAGACAACCTCCCTGCATTTATACAGGTCAGACTGCACACACACACACACACACACACACACACACACACACACACCGAGTCAGTGTTAAAAGTCAGTTTGCAGATGATATCACTTCCTGTGCGGACTCACCCGTCCACGTCTTTCTCTGGAGACACGGCATTGACGATGAGTTCAGTGTCGATGATGTTCACAGAATCCAGAGGAAGCTGCACGATCAAACCGTGAACCAAACGGTTCTCGTTCACCGACATGATGCTCTGCAGGACCTGATACAGGAAGCAGGAAGCAGGAAATAGGAAGCAGGAAGCAGTAATCAGGAAACCCGAAACAGGATCAGGAAATAATTCTTTATTAATTAAATTCAATACCTGTTCAGCCGAAAGATACATTTAACATATGTTCATACAAGTGTGTGTGTGTGTAGAATTTATCAATTTCAATGAGTCCATGAAAATAGACTTCTTTCAAAGATAGATAGAAGTGTGTTTTTTTTTTTTGTGCAAAAAAATACTCGAACCCTTGACAATTTTCTGTCCATTATAAAACCAAATTTAATATTTTTGTCAGTCAACACTGTTATAGCCAAATTATTATTCAACAGCCTTCCAAAATAGATTGGATGTATTACAAGAGAGATGTTTCTATTTCTATTTTACAGAATACACAATAATTAGAAACAATCTTGAACCTGAGCTGTATCATTCACTGTTTTAAAGTGCATTTGTTTAGTTTTTGGAAGAACACGGAAAGATATCTACGTCTAATGCTCTTAGACATCACAGAAGTGTATTCCTGCCATAGGTACCTTCTCTTTAGAGACAAGAAAGAAGAGACAGACTTAGACAGTTGTTGACGAGGACTCCCTTAATCAGACCATCACTTTTAGAACAGCAGAATATTCTCTGTTAGAGACCCTTAGATTGTATATACCATTAAATTCACTATAGTGAAGAATGTTGCCTTTGTCATCTATTAATTGTCATTCTTTAACGTAAAGTGATTCCTCTTTATCAGAATGCATCGGTGTACTGTGGGGAGAGAAATTAAATGTAAACGTTAGCTAGAAGCCGAAACCTCCAGTGAAGCAGACGTCACATGTTTGATTGGTCAGAAAGTATGCCAAAGACCTCTTAGTACTATTAGTACTATTGACCACAGCTTTTCTTTTTAGTTTTCTTTTCTTTTCAAGTCAAATCTGGTTTATTGAGGTTTTTTGGGGGATATAACAGAGGTACAGTGTTTTTAGTTTAAGTGTGGGTGTGCAATGACAGCTGCTGACACCAATCCCAGTAAAGCATCGATAAACCCCAAAAAACAAAGGATGTATGTAAATAGTGTTGGTATATACAATCACAATAAAATAATGCCTGCCAGCCACACAAAGGCTGGTTCTGTTGGTTCAACCCCTAACACATAATAATCAAGGATTTACCAACATTTAAATAAACATTTACAAAGACTAGAATGTATCTAAAAAAAAAAAGTTAGGGTTAGTAGTTAGACAAAAATGATCTTTCTTCAAAACAGGGATTTTGCATTGCTCAGATAATAGTTTTTATTTTGTTTTATTGTGACACTTTGTTGTTATATTTCCATTCAAATGATCAAAAAAACCAAATGTTTGATTGGTCAGACGTGTTTCTGGTAAAAACACGAAGTAATAGAGGATGTTGTGCGTTGGTCACTGACCTCACATTGCGTTGCTGTGTTTGGAAGCCTCACATGTTTCGCATCAATTCCAATCTGCAGAGACGACAAAGTGAATATGTTAAAGCTGCAAAAATCAATATGCATATATTTTTTTTGGGGGGGGGGGGGGTTCTCTCACCACTGCCTCTTGTGGCTGGAGAGGGAAAACCACATTTATGACTGAAGACACGTTGGGTTTAACATGTGATTCATCTTGTGGGGTACATGAATCATATGTTCACAAAGTCGGTCCGTCACTTAACACTGTCTCTACTTTGCTCATTGGTTCCCACTGATGATGTCATTCTATAAGCACGTTGCATGGATGTAGTTTCATTTTTCATTTCCTCAAACTGCTGCATGTTTTTAAATAAAAATAAAAAGGAGTTTAGGGACCCAGCAGAGGGACTCACCTGAGCCGCAGCCTTCAGTTTGGTGCTGATGTACAAGTTAGAGTCGTCTCTGTCTCCCACCTGCAACATAATGTAACACATATTACTGCTTCCTGTCGTCCACGCCATTTCATAGCAGTGTCCTTAAAAACAAGATGGAGGATTGACAGAAAACCTCCCGTGTGACCTGAACACCTGGATTGTCTGGGAACGTTCCAGTTCAGGAGGAACAGATAAATTCAAGTTCCACGTTGAATTGGGCAGAGTTCAACTGTAACACTCACATTTTCCTGTCAGACCGGATGTGAACAGATCAGATGTTCACGTTAACATTCGTTTGCGAGACCGTTTGTTATCAGTCAACTGAAAACAGCAGCGTCACGGTTCACCTGACAAGTCTGCCCCCTGAAGGCTGTGTGTGTAAACATCACTATACAACTAATATATAACAGTCACATGTAAAAATTATAACTTTTATGTAAAGTAACTTGAGATCATGTATATTGAATTTAATTGAATTATAACAATTCAAATAATATGGGGGGGGGGGGCTCCACGTTCTGAGTAAAGGTTAAAAATTAAATTTACCTGAAGAACCAACAAACCGGGTTTGAACCCAGAGAAGTCACTCGTCATCTTCTGCACCTCGTTCTTCAGCCTCTGTCTCACCAACCTACACAAAGGTCAAGGGTCAACTCTCTAACACCTGACAAAATGGAACAAAGTGGGATGTGGACTCACTTGGATGTCTTGTTGCCAGAAATGATGGTTGCTATGGAGCGGCTTCTTCCTAAGCAACCAGGGGCTGCAAGACGCATGAAGTGGGTGCCTAATGACAACATGACTGACAGGGGGGGGCTCATTAGAAATGTACCATCAGCCCCAGCCCCCCCACAGACAATAGACCCCACCCCAACACATGTCACACACGTCAACAATGCAACACGTCAACAGGGGTCTAAGAAGTGAGTTCAACACATCCAGGATTTCTTTCATTTATCCAGCTGAACTTAACCTAACAATCACAGTCAGGCTCAGTGGTCACATGATGCCGGTTATCAACTAGTTAAGTTAACTCAGGTTTTCCTTATCAAGATATGAGTGTGTGCACATTAAAGGGGAGGAGTTTACTGCATATGACCAATCACAAACAAGTTTGACTGACAGCAGAGCCTCATATTTCACAATGAGGATCCAACTGTTATTACTACAGCATTAAAAGTGAAATATGTGTGGTTCTCCTCCGCTCACACTCCCAGTACATCAGTATCAGTAAGTGAAGTACATGTAGACAGTCTGTGGTACTGAGAGTACTTTGCTCCTTCGGGTCAGGTTGGTTCTGTTGAAGCTCCAGCAGCTGACAAAGGTTCATCCTCTGAGGAGAATCTAGATCTTTCAGAAACTCCTCAGAGGATCTCAGAGGATCTTGTGGGTCTCTGAAGACCCTGGTCCTCCTCAGAGACTGGAACGATCCACAGCAGCTCCACGATAAGAACATGATGTCATGGTTCAAAGGAGGGGAGTGGTCAGTGGGCGGAGCTTTTATACTTTTTGATCTCTTATCTCCAACTTAACCTGGAGCCGGTCAGCTGGTAAACATGTTACCATGGTGATTTACCCGGTAACAAGGGAACGAGCTTCGTAGGACTGAAAACTCTGAATTAAACCTGAAGTTAAGTGATAACCACACATCCTGCTTCATAGTTCAGAGGTCAGGTAGACATGGTCAGAGTCTGACAGAGTTTATCATGAAACAGAAACTGATCAGAGTCACACATCTCACTGCTCCTCTGTTTCTATAAAAGAAAAAATTAATACATTTAATCAAACTTTTATTTTATATCTGAGATATTTGTTTTATGTTTCTGTGATTATTGATCGGAAGTCAATACATGTGGATAAAATCCTAACCCCCCCCCACTTACAACTCACACTCAAACTCAGGCATGTGCATGTGAATACACGTCCACACCATACATACTTTCTTTTATCTTGATATGAATATTATTGTTTGATTATTGATCGATCAACTCTCACACGTCATCACATTTTCTACATGTTTATAATGAATAGTTTTAATTAATATTGAAGATTTAAAATACATTGATCACTGATGAATAGATATTTACATAGAGTTCAGTCAGACATGTTAATGATTAAAAACTAAAGTTTATGTTCTTACTGGAGCACACACACATACAAACAATACACACACACAGACACACATATTCAACATTCAGAGTAAAAACCAGAGAAACAGAAACACAGTCTTACCCGAGAGATGAAGAGCAACTGGGTAACTGCTCACACACACACACACACACACACACACACACACACACACACACACACACAAACACACACACACACAAACACACACACACAAACTTGCACCTGTGTGTTTATGTGTGAGGGGGGATCAAAGGTCAAACTTCCCTCAGCCAATCAGATTGCAGAGTTTTGGGGAGTGATGTTTACACAAACTTTTTTTCTCTGACCAGCTGTCATGAGAGATAGTACAGATGCATCATGGGAAATAATTCAATTCAATGTAGCCTACTTAGACAGGCTACATTGAATTTGTATTATTATTTTTCACATCCATACTGTTTGAATTAATTATTTTTTTAAATGTAGCTTAGTAATTGTATATTTACACAAAAGTAACATTAAAAATGATATAAAGTGCGCTTTGCTGTCTGTTTTTGTAATGATGGACTTTTGATGAACTAGAAATATTAAAGTTTTTTTTATAGAAGCCACTTGTATGATAATAACAAGATATAGAACATGTTTTATAGGTCATGGATGTTGTGATCTACAGGAAGACGATAGGTGCTCAGTTGGGTGGTTCAGCCCTTCATCTTTACTGATTCGATTTTAGTCGTTGTGCAAACATCTGGCGGAACGTCCCATTTTACGCCGTTCTTTTATAAGAGCTGCATAAATGTGGCGTAAACTTTGCTGGGACGCCACTTTTTACGTGTTTCTTTTTTATGTGACCTAATTGACATGTCAAATATTTTGTCCACAATGGCTTGATATACTACCACCTGCTGCGATACGACTCGCTCCGTAAACAGTGGGAGAAGTGTCCATTCAAAGAGAGCTACCAACATATTAGCACACCGCAGCTTTGTGTACAACTGGGACTGGGACTGTGCAGCAGTAAACGTGCTCAAGTGCAGCACAGGGTCAAGGTGAGGCACGGTGCACGAGGAGCAGATCTACTGCTTCAACTGGAAACTTTTGTCTTACATCTGACCTCTGACAATCCGACTGACCTGGGACAAACATCTGACCTGGGACAAACTATCTGACGCGGATTTATAAAGAGGTCAGATAAATTACTAAACATTGTTAATAAAATAGGATTATTTAGGAGTGACTTCCTGTCCCAGAACATCTGGGGAAGTCAACGGTTGCTGGTTTGAATCCAAGCTGTATGAAATCATCCTTGCCAAATGTGACATCTTCACTTTTGTAACATGCAAAAATAAAGTTTTAAAACACATCAGGGCTGCCCCATTTATTTTCATTTTAACCATAAAAAAATGTAATGATAATGTGACCATTTAATTTCATCTGATTTAAAACCTTGTGATCATATGAAATGTGAAAGTTACGTAATAAAACTCTTAACTGTTAGCTTCATCAAAATAAGTCTTCAGAACAAAAAACAAAAAATAGAAGAGTTTGGGTTTAACTTCACAGAAAACGACCCTTTAATGACTGAAAGAAAAGAAAACTTGTAACAATTTTATTTTTATTTTATTCGTTAAACCATCATTATTACAGACAAAAATAAAGTAAAACATTATTTTGTTCATTAAAATGAAGATGGGGATTTGAGTTTTGACCTGCGGCCTTGGACTAAAACTACTGCTCATGTCAGGTCCAAAACAATCGTTATCACATTGTGAGAGATGAGCCGTTGTCACTGGATCCATCCACCGATCGGCGAGTGGACACGAAGACCTCAGACGTGACCCTGGAGAAGCGGCGTGGGGCGATGTACCTCTTCCCCAGACACCACAGGTCCTGGATGATCCTTCTGAAGTGGTTCCTGAACTTCACTCCGACGAAGGCATACAGCACCGGGTTCAGGCAGCAGTGCAGGTAGGCGATGGTCTGCGTTACTGTCTTGGCAACCTGCAGGGCATCGGATGCTTCACACATCTGATGCTGGAACATGATGACAGTGTCGTAAAACAATACAATATTGTAGGGTAGGTGACAGGCGACAAACACCACAACCACAGCCATTACCACCCGGACTGCCTTGTGCCGCTGGAAATTTCTGACACTTAGCAGCTTGACGATAATGGCGGTGTAGCAGACGGTCATGATTAGCAGTGGCAGGAAGAAGCCCACGGCCAGCTGGGTGCTGGGAACAGCCACTTTGGTTGTCCAGGCCGTGCTGTTATTAGTGAACCTGAACTCACAGACAAACTGTGGAGTGGTTAGATTCTTCTCGTGTCCGTCATACATGTAGACGTCTTGGGTGTGCAACGGCTCGTACCAGTTGTAAAAGTAGAATGTTGGGACAGACAGTAGAAAAGCAAAGGTCCAGACGATGGCACAGATGAGGCGGCTGCGGGGCAGCGAGCGCAGTCTGAAGCTGCGCCGGGCCTGGACGATAGCGATGTAGCGGTCAGTGCTGATACAGGCGAGCAGCAACATGCCACTGTAGAGGTTCACACTGTAGGAGCCGTGCAGCAGCTTGCAGGCCACCGGCCCCATCGACCATGACGACAGCTTGTTGTAGACGATGATAGGCAGCGACACCACAAACAGCAGGTCAGCGATGGCGACGTTGAGCAGATAAACGTCCGTCATGGACTTAGTCCTCTTGTAGAAGGCATAGGTAACAATCACCAGACTGTTCCCCACAAAGCCCAGGATGCAGATGATGGAGTGAACATACTGACCAACCAACAGCTCCACACTGTGGTTGTTCTGGTAAGTGCAAGGTTCCACCACTTCGTACTCATAATCTGATTGGTTGAACCAAAAGTTGTCCATGTTGTTGTTCTCTGACTGTGAACAAAGAGAAGAGAGAAACCGTCAAACTCTGAGTCAAAATACCCACCGAGACCCCCTAACAGTAAAATTCGTTGGGGGGGTCTTTGGAAAAAATCTTCTTAACTTCATTGCTGTATAAGCAGTTACGCCCTATTCATCCGTCAACACATAAAAATGAATTCAGCAGGTTTTTATAA